TTCTGCTGGGATCTAGATTCATCACAGCCAAAGGTATTTTAAGTACATACTTGTAAAACAGAGTTCACTTCTAAAGGGTTCACCTGGTCCAAACCGTGCTTTTAAGAATGCTCGTTACCCAAAAGCTTTGTTTTTCTTGCCACATCATCTTACAGCTATCTGAACTGTGCGACAGTGACCAACATTATCAGCTAATTACCCAGTAAAAATCGAGTGTATCACCAATGAAGTCTCATGAAATTCAGTTCCACAAATGGATCCCCAAATATTCCAACCTTATCTATATTTTATTACATCTTATGAAAAACTATGTTTTGATTAGATAATATTCAGTTTAAGAGGAAAAATGGGCAAGATGAATGTTTGATACTTTTACCAAAAATTTGTATTTCATTTACTTGCTGATTTCCCTGAAAACTCAATTTGTTGAAGAAGTAACATTCTGTACTAACAACTGTGTATTACTAGTCACACACAGGTGTTTAATTAATTTTACTTGTAAATCTTTAAATTTTTGAAAGTCCAGTTGTAAACTAAAGTTGTAGAAACAAGTGATAAGAATATTAGAGGATGATAAATTCTACATCTTTAAATAAGTACTAGCAGGTGCTATTTTTCCTAAAGCCATAGACATTTAGAATAAACAGAGTGATTACTTTTTAAAATTTTGATCTGTATTTTGTTTATTAATAGAGCATGAGTGGTTTTGTCTGTGCTTTTTGCATGCATGAAAAATACTACAGACATGATTACTTTCGAAACTCTATCTTACCCACTGTTAACCTTGTGCTGAACTAAACTTTGCTAAGACTTATTAAAGTATTAATTTGACTAGGTCTTAGACAAAAAAGGTATAAAACTAGATACAGACAACCCATAAATTTATCTCTGATTAGTCACCTATTTCTGGGCTTATAATAAATGATACATTTCCTGTTACATGTGATACAAAAAGCATTCTAATTTTTCCCCTTTCATAGTTAATGTCTGAAAACAAAACAGATGAGAAACCTTTCAGTGGTTAACTTCATTAGCTGAGATTCACTTTTAGGAAAAGTCAAACCACTCTCAATTCATAACCAACTTTTACAAATAAATTAGGAGTCACAAAATTTCAGAACTAAAGTCATTAAAATTGGCCATACCTTCACTAATCAATAGGAAATGGTTCTGTAAAAATAAGGCCAAAATAAGGCTCTCCAGATCTGGGCAATGACTAGTTATTCTAATGAGAAAGCCATCTCAGGTTTCTTACTAAAGAATCGAATCCACAATTTTTCTCACTCTGCTCTGTACTAGGTGACTAAGAGGAGTGTCTGAATTAAAGATTAATCAGGGCCACAGAATATACAAATATTGGTTTATTAACAACATGATTAGCACTACATAATTTACAGTGTTTCTTATGTACCGTTTTATTTAGCACAACACAACCTGTGAGGTAGTGGGCTGGGTATTACCTGACTAAAAAGTTCCTATTCTTTCCATTTCTTCAGGCTATTTAATAGTATGTGATGATCCTTCAATAAATCAACTAAAGATATAACAAATTATTTGAGGCTACTAGGCAGGCTGGATCACCAATTCCAAGTCTTTTTTTTTTTTTTTTTTTGAGACAGGGTCTTGCCTAGGCTGGAGTGCAGTGGCGCAATCACTGCTCACTATAGCCTCAACCTCCTGGGCTCAAGGAATTCTCCCACCTCAGCCTCCCTGATAGCTGGGACCATAGGCACATGTCACCATGCCTGGCCAATTTTTTTATTTTTTGCAGACAGGTTCTTCTTAAATATAAGAAGTTCCTATATAAGAAGTTCTAGGCGGGCTGAACTCCTAGCCTCAAGCAATCCTCCTACCTTTGCCTCCCACAGTGCTGAGATTACAGGCGTAAGCCACCATGCCCAATGCCCAGCTCCAAGAACTCTTAAAATGGAACTATCATGAGTTTTCCTGAAGTATTAGGTTAGAAGATGACAACCCAGCTGTTTCTGTTCACTATAGTTGTGAGAGGTCCAGTTATTTAAAAGGCCATTAAGATTTTAGAGGTATAGGTACAGACTGGGAAGTGTCATAAAGGAAATTTCTGGGGTACTGGAAATGTCCTAAACATGGTGGTGACATAGGTGTTAACATAAATAAAAATTCATTAAGCTGTACATTTAAAATTAGTCCACTTTATGCATTTTACTTTATATGTATTATCCTTGCAAAGAAAAAGACTGACATCTTTGAGAGCAAGAGTTTTTGTCTTATTCACCTCTGTATCATTTTCAACATGGTGCTTTCTTTGCACATTAGACATTCAAAAAATGTGATATTAAGATTGATTACAACAATACTGGAGTGTCTGTATAAGGGTAAGGTGCTGAGGCTGAGAAGTATATGAGGGAGATTTGAGATTAAACCTGCCACATAAAGTGGAGAGAAGTAGCAAGGTCAGGGCTATGAAATAATCCTAGAAACTTTAAAATTTCTACATAATACAGTTGACACTACGATTCTCAATAGAGCTGCTTTCAATCTCAAAGGGCTGTGGGTGGGTGTGTGTGTGTGTGTGTGTGTGTGTGTGTGTGTGTGTGTGGTAAAAAGGGGAGTGGCAGGTCAAGGAACAGAGGTGTATTTCACAAGACTTAAGTAATCTTGGCATTGCTGTTTTTCCTGCCAGAAAATCATTACCTTTTCCTTTAAATATCATTTCCATGTATATTGTAATAATCACTCCTATGTCAATTTCATCCTTCCTCCTCTAGTAATAGCTACCATTTATTCATTAATTTTATCCGTCCTTCTCTAATAATAGCTACCATTTATTCAGCACCAACTAGTATACTGGGGACTATGCTCGGTGCTGGAGTCCTAAATACGAATGAGACAAACACTTACATGAGAGGATATCCATAATACAGGCATGTACAAAGCTTCGCCTCAACCTGGGAGGCAGGACCAAGCTTCATAGAGAAGCCCAGTCTTCAAGGATGAGTATTCTAGTTGCAGAAGAGCAGGGGCAGAGTGGGTAACATGTTAAAGGTATGAAGGCCTGAGAGAATTGTTTTCTTTCAAGGAATGCTAACTGTGGAATAAGGCTTAGGGTGAACGTGGTATTTTAACTGGAACATATGGAAAAGATTATTACTAGGGAAAAAGAATGAAGGCCTTTACTAAGAAAGCAGCAAGAGGAAGCAAGCTCAAAAGGACTTGATTAAGTATGAATGACAGAAAAAGAATACAACACTTTGAGGTTCCTAGTATCTTGAGTGGCATGGTAAATGGTAATGCCATTATAAGGAAGGTAAAGAATGCAAGACGGGGAGTCAGTTTATCAGGGCATTCAGGTGGCATGAGTGAAAACTGAAGCTGTGGGCTCTGATAAGATCATCCAGGGGGGAAAATAGCACCAAATGAGGGGAGGGGTCGAGACTCTTGGGAAATAAGTCTCAGAGAGGAATCCTGTCTACCACAGAACACCCAGAGGAGTGTCCAAAGAGGGAAGTCTAGGAGGTTATCAATAGGTCAAGCAGTGTGAGGACTGATAAAAGACGTGAGATTTGACAAGGTGGGCAGTCTCAGCTCATCTTTCCCAGAATATCATAAGAAAATTGTAGGAGTTAAAGATAGAGATCACTGGGCTAAGGAATGACTGGGAAGGGAGAAAATGGAGGTTGGAGGCATTTCAGAAGTCAGGATGCAAAGTCAAGTGTCATGCAGGTGGTGGGAAAGGTTTGTTTGTTTTTTTTGGTCTTTCCTTTTAGTCTAATGAAGACATTTACCATGTTTATACAAAGAAAGGAAGCACTAAATGACGATGTGAGGATAAAGTAAACACAGGCTGGGAGAGAAAGGAAGAGGAATTCAGTGCACAAGTAGAGTTCAGAAAAGTGCCTCAGAAACTAAAAGCATAAGATCTCTTTTCATAAAAGGAAAAAAAAGATTACTCAAATTCTACCATCATTTTGCCACTGGGATTATTTTGCTTTCAAACAATTTGGATGACCATTATTATTCCTGGACTTGAATGTACATGATTCTCATAAACTCAATGTCACACTAAGTAAAACTGCAAAAATCATATACATCTTATAATTACAGTTAATATTTCTTTCAAAAACCAAAGTTCTATTAGTAATACTTTTAATGTTCAATAAATATTTACTGTTTAATATAAGGCAGGCATTTTTCTACAAATTGGAGATTCAACAATAAAGCACAAAAACTGCTGTCCTTAGAAAGCTTATATTCCGGTATAGGAAAACAAACAATAAACAAATAAATGCTTAGTAAAGTCAGATCATGGTAAGTGCTATGGACATACATAAAGCAGGCGGGACAGAGAATGCTGATGTACATATAGCCAAGGAAGACCTTGCTCAGGTAACAGTGGATTGACACCTGAAGGATACAAAAGAATGAACTATGCATTTTTCTGAGAGAGAACATTCGAGGGAGAGGGAATACCAAGTACCAGAGTCCAGGGCAGGTGCATACTTGATGCTTTGAAGGGGAGCACTGAGGTCAAGGTACCTGGAGCTGCATGAGGATGGGAAATGGCAGAACCTGAGGTAGGACAGGGAGTCTAGGCCTGCTACTTTTAAGGACTTTGACTGCTCTGAGATGAGAAGCCTCTGGATGGTTTTGAGCAGATGAATGGAATGAGTTGATTTATTTTTAAAATAATCACTCTGGCTACTTTAAACAGACTGTAGGAATTCAAGGATATAAGGAGAAGTTTTGTAGATGATACCTTTAATCCAGGGAAGAGATGGTGGCTTGGAAAAGGGTGTTAACAGCAGAGGTCAAAAGAGGTGGTCAGCTTTAGCTGTTGTGAAGGTAGGGTCTACTAGATTTGCTAATGTATTGGATATGGGAACTAAAAGAAGAATAAAGGATGACTCCAGGATTTTTGGCCTGAGCAACTAGAAGCATGGCATTGCCATTTACTAAGTTGGGGAAGACTGAAGGAGAAGCAAGTTTGGGAGGGAAGACCAAGAATTCAGTTTTGGATATGGTGAGTGTGAGCTTTAATTCGATTTCTAGGTAAAGATGTCAAATAGGCAGTTTTATGAGATCACAGGGAGCGAGGACACTTAAGAAAGGAGAATGGTCCAAGGAAACGTTTTCCCCTTAAAAAATATGAGTGTAAAGCTAAAACCATGAGTAAGTTTAAAGGCATAGATTGAAATAGTATACAATGTAGAAAACCTCCCATACCTTGAAAGCTCACTTCAACTGCCTTCTGCCCAACTTAACACTTTAAAGACATTTTGATACACATACAAACCTAAGAAACTCCAAGAAGCCTAAGAAAACCCCTTAGGGGTTACCTTGGCCCATGGGCCTCAAAAATAAGAAATTAAGTTTTTCAATGGCATAGCCATTACAAGTTTTATCTTAAATTTGCTTGAAATTTAAGAATACATTAAAACATTATAAAAAGAAATATAAAAAAGCATTTTTTTTTGAGACGGAGTCTCACTCTGCCACCCAGGCTGGAGTACAGTAGTGAGATCTCAGCTCACTGCAACCTCCGCCTCCTGGGTCCAAGCAATTCTTGTGCCTCAGCCTCCCAGGTAGCTGGGAGTGCAGGTGTGCACCACCATGGCCACCTAATTTTTGCATTTTTAGTAGAGACGGGGTTTCGCCATGTTGGCCAGGCTGGTCTTGAACTCCTGGCCTCAAGTGATCCACCCGCCTAGGCCTCCCAAAGTGCTAGTATTACAGGCATAAGTTCCTATGCCAAGTCTCTGAGTTGTCTTTTTATGACAGCTTCCAATTTTGTGTTCACTACATCCCAAGCTGCATGCTTCTTCCCTGAAAAAAGTTTTTTTATATTCTCAAATACAGTATTATATTCCCAGTCAGACAAATACAAAATGCTGCATCTACACAGGTGATACCAAGACTTAAAAGGATTTAAATCTTGCAAGTTATACTTGAAAAAATTCATATGGAAAGGAGTCACTCAATTGCTCATTTTGCATACTGCCAATACCTGAATACTGACTACCTTGAACAAAACTATGACTGTCTGGATTGGTACTGTTTGATGGTCCCGACTCATTTATCATGCTGTTATCTGCACAATTGAAGTCAGATCCCTCAAATGCATCTGACTGTGAAACAAAAACAGTAGTATTGGAATTGGCGCTTGCTGACATATTGGAAGAGGACATCTGGTGGAGCTGTCTCAAGTCTCTTGGGTCTAACACTGAATTACATGAGGGGTTTTCAAGATTCATGCTCAGAAGTCTTGGATTATCAGTTTCTCCCATGCTATCATTGCTGGTTGTCATCATATTCACAGAACAATTTGACAGCATGTTGGGATCAGAAATACCATATAAATCGGCTGGTGGCATGGATGATGCTTCCATTCCGACTATGTCGTCAGCATTGTTATAAATGCAAGCATTAGAAACATTTAAATCATTCTCAACAGGTATTCCCAGGAATGGTGGGATACCTTGTGAATTAGAAGGAAGTGTCCCTGTTGAAAAACTGCTCAGTGGATTTGTATTGACTAAGCGTGAGGTGGGGTGGGCCACTGATGACCAGCTTGAAGAAGGCGGAGGTGGCATTGAGGCATGACGTGACAATCCACTTGAGATGTGCCCAAGTGAGGGATAGTAGGATTCTGCTTGATTTGAAACCCCTGTAGGTCTGGGCATTTCTGTCACAACTGCACCATGAGAAAACAAGTTTGGTTCTGTGGGAGGAAAAATTTATTTTACAAAATTAAACAAAATTATAAAAAGTATTATTTCTAAATTAAAATTGCATATGCACACAAATAAACACACAAAAAAATGTCAAGGAAACCAATGTAACATTTCAAATAAAAATATGTAAAAAGCACTAAAATTATTACACAAATCCAAAATGAAATTCTGTAACATATACCATTTACAAATACAGGTAAAATGATTTTGGCAAGTTACTTTGGCATTATGTACTTTCACTCCAGTTAAATGAAAATCTAGCTTCTGAGGCTCTATAAATGTATTTTTGAAAACTGGAAGATAAATATTAGAATTATAATTAATGGGACTCCAAATAGCCAAAATCATCTCTTACTCTCCACTTTTAGGAGAAAATGGAAGGATGGAGAAAACACTCATTAGGGATAATAAGAAAATACACAACTTTTAAGATATGTTATGACACAATCCTAAGAGACTATAAAATTCACAGTCAGAAAAAATTAATTCTCTATTTATTTACATATTATACAAATGCTTGATAACCTAAACCAGGAAAAAGCACTGATTTAAGAATGTAAGAGGGGGTAGAAAGGACTTCTAATTAGCCCGTTAGCCCTTGGTAGAATTATCTAAACTAGGGATTGGCAATTTTTTTTCCTGTAAAAAGTCAGATAGTAAATATTTTAGGCTTTGTGAGCTATCTACAGCCTCTGTTGGAACTTCTCAACTCTGTTGCCATGGTGTTAAAAAAACAGTTTAGAGACAGTATTTAATCAAATATTCATGGCCGTGTTCCAGTAAAATTTTATTTATAAAAATTGGTAACTAACCAAATCAATAACATTTTTTCCATAACATGATGTAATTAATAAAATTGCTACTGTATAAAAAGCATGTTATTTCTTGAACAATAAATCCCAAAAACACAATCTGTTTCTAACACAACCTTCAGAAGCCATGTTCAATTCATTCTATACTGAAACCAAGAAAAATCTGAAGGAGAGAAAATTTTCAAAAAAGCAGTTATTCATTCCTAAATACAGAATTCCAATATATTGTGCCAAGCTCTGGTCTTTCTGATCACAAGAAATATGCTATAGGAAATAAAATACCTTTTTTGATGTATCTTCCTTCTCCAATTGATCCAAGGGGACCAGGTCTTGGTCTCTCAGGAAAATTACCTGTTAGGATAAAGTTTTTCCATTATTAAATATAATTTGAAAAATAACACTATCAGTTAAAATTCGAAAATCCGGCCAGGGGTGGTGGCTTCCGCCTATAATCCCAGCACTTTGGGAGGCCAAGGTTGTGGATCATGTGAGGTCAGGAGTTCGAGACTAGCCTGGCCAACATGGTGAAACCCCGTCTCTAATAAAAATACTAAAAATTAGTCAGGTGTGGTGGCACATGCCTGTAATCCCAGCTACTCAGGAGGCTGAGGTAGCGGTATTGCTGAACCTGGGAGGTGGAGGTTGCAGTGAGCTGAGATTGCCCCACCGCACTCCAGCCTGGGTGAAAGACAGCCCTGTCTCTACTAAACAAAAACAAAACAAAAATAAAATTTGAAAAACTAAATAAAGCAAATAAAACAAAACCTATTTAAATATGAATCAATTCAAAATATTCTTACCATGATCCTGCCACAGTTTCTGAAAAAGCAGAGTTGTCTTTTGTTTCTTTGATTTATTGCCATAAGTATCTGATTAGAAAGAAACCAGGAAAGCAGGTAAAAAATTAAACTCTCCATTAATAAACAAGTATTTTATTCACATATAGAAAATGTTTTCAATAAATATGTATATAATTTGGATTTAATAAGTATTATAGAATATGTCCCAAATCAGTACTATCAGTAGTAAAGGATATTTTTCTCTTAGTAAAAAATTGTTTAAAGTAATCCTAGCACTTTGGGAGGCCAAGACAGGTGGATCACTTGAGCCCAGGAGTTTGAGGCCAGCCTGGGCAACATGACAAAACCCTGTCTCCACAAAAAATACAAAAATTGGCCGTGCACGGTGGCTTATGCTTGTAATCCCAGCACTCTGGGAGGCTGAAGAGGGTGGATCACCTGAGGTCAGGAGTTTGAGACCAGCTTGGCCAACATGGTGAAACCCCGTCTCTACTAAAAATACAAAATTAGTTGGGTGTGGTGGCACATGCCTGTAGTCCCAGCTACTCGGGAGGCTAAGACAGGAGAATCGCTTGAATTGGGAGCCAGAGGCTGTAGGGAGCTGAGATCATACTACTACGCTCCAGCCTGGTCAAGATAGAGCAAGACTCCATTTCAAACCAACCAACAAACAAAACCCACAAAAATTAGCCTGGTGTGGTGGTGCACACCTGTAGTCCCTGGTACTCCAGAGGCTGAGGTGGGATAATCACCTGAGCCTGGGAGGTTGAAGCTCTGGTGAGCCATGATCATGCCACTGCACTACAGCTTGAGAGACAGAGTGAGACCTTGTCTCAAAAATAAATAAATAAATAATGAGATAAAGCAATATTCATCGTGAGTAGCTTTGAACTACATCCGCAGACTTTTATTCATTTACTCACTCACGTAT